TCTCGCCCGTAGAACTGGAGTAGGTGACGTGTTCGAGCAAGGAAAAGCTTTTATGTCAAACTGTCTTCGTAGCTGGACCCGATCTCGATGGACTGACGGTTCCTAACCCAACGCTTGCAGGGTGTATATCCTGGATGTGCCCGAAGGACCGGTCTGTATTGTGGGATCCTGTAATTGTGGCTCCATGGTCTAGGCGCAGTGGATGAAATTTGTTCGTGTTCGTTGTATGTATACTTAAGACTCTCTTTCCCCTTCAGTGACCTGTGGGATGGGCGATAAGGCCCCCAAATCGGACCTTGATGTATGGATGGGCTCCGTAGCCCCCGGCTAGATCGGGCCCAGTTCTGGCTTCGTTACTGATTACTACTAACTTTCCCAGTTCCCCTCCCACTTATTGTGGCTGGGTTGAGCTCCAAGCCACCAGTGGTTAATACCTCGTCCCCTGGTGTTGCTCATTCTTTCATTGTAACAACTGTGCTGCACCTCTGCCTCCTTCGTGAGGGCCTCGGCGACGTCACCTGGCTCGCACTCGTCTACTTCCTGCTTCCCCTTTTACGTTGCAGGATTTGTTCCGCCCTGCTACGAGGTCTAAGTATTATGATCTGTGTTCCGACGACGAAACCCGCCCTGATGGTGAGTATATCCACACACACTTAGTTGACTCTGTGGATTTCCATGTTACCTTTAACCCCACTTAGACTGGCCCCCTTATAGTTGCAGCCCCTTCTCAAGGAGACGGCCGCCCACCTTGATGCTTTGTCCTGCTTTGTTAGACCCCAGTTTGGGTGTAAAAAAAAAACACCCTGTTGAATGCCAGCATTGACATTGTTGTACTCCCGCACCATGCTTCAACTGGTGATCGTGTCCTGAAAGAGTGCCATGAGGATATTATATACATTATCGAGGCCCAGGACTTGTCTTACAAATTGACTGCTTCACTCATCCCTCTCGTGGTCATCATCTTAATTCGTCCTCTTCGTATTGTTAAGGTCACTTTTGATGGTAGGACCCTTCCGTCTTCTGTCATTCTTGTCGTGGCCAGATGCTCTGATCAGTACATCCCATCTCCATGCATCTACAATAAGTGTTGGAAATATGGACATGGTCCCTTGAAGTGCACTAATGAGATGTCGCTTTGCCCCTTGTGTAGTGACATTGGAGATTACAAAACAGAGTGCTCCTCTCCCCAAGCTTGCTGCATTAACTGTGATGAGACCTATCTTATCTCCTCCCGCACATGCATGAACTATAAATTTGAACAAGTCATATAGGGGGCCGGTCTGCCGAGCGGACAGCACACTGGACCTGTGATCCTGTGGTCCCGGGTTCGATCCCGGGCGCCGGCGAGAAACAATGGGCAGAGTTTCTTTCACCCTATGCCCCTGTTACCTAGCAGTAAAATAGGTACATGGGTGTTAGTCAGCTGTCACGGGCTGCTTCCTGGGGGTGGAGGCCTAGTCGAGGACCGGGCCGCGGGGACACTAAAATGCCCCGAAATCATCTCAAGATAACCTCAAGATAGAAGATCCTCGACTTAAAATATAGTGAACGTATATCTTTCCCTGAGGAAAGACGTCAGGTCCGCCATCTTACTCCTTTCTCCAACATAATGTATCCTTGTGCATTTCATCGCACTACTCTTCCCCTCCATCCATTCCTTTATCAGACTCGCAATAGCTTCCAAGCTTAAACCCCGACACCTCCACTAGCTCGCCATCTTCTGCACCACTGGGCTCTCAAGTTAATGGTGTTCCTCATGGTTCACCGCCCAGTATCTCCTCCCTTTTGTTACCAGTCTTCTGCTGCTCTTCGTCTTATTATAACTTCTCCACCTCCTCCATCTTTTCTATCCGCTGTGACCTTCACCTTCAGTCCCCATTTTTCTCCTCAGTCTTCCCCTGTCCTTTGACTTTCCCCGACCATTATCCGTCCAGGCAGACATCCATCCTTCTCCCAGACGTCCTCGTGTCTGCTCTTATTTTCCGTCGCCACCTGAGACTGTAGAGGCTGTTGGACAGAACATTGCCACTGGAACTGTCTCGTGCTCAGAAAGTTAACCTGGTTCCTCTCCTACTGCCTTCCCAGCGGGTAAAAAAGCTTCAATTCAACTCAAACTTTCCACTTCCGACTCTGCCCTCGTATATTCTATCATCTCCGAGATTGAGTCAGTTGATATTGCTATGGAAACTCCCGGTGCTGTTCTTGATTCACCACTTGCAGCCATTTTCTTCGGCCGCCTGTTCCTGGTGCCATCTCCCTTATTGGATCATGTCGGGTCTATTCCCCTACTCGCTACCCTCTTGATTATTCCGTCTGTGCTATATTTACCCCCAACCCGGATTTATTGAACCTCCTGCCGATCCACCCAAATGTATTACTCATTGCTTTATTTTTCTCTTTTTCGTTTTACTGTTTGATTTGTTCTTGACTGTTTATTATTCAATGGAATATAAGTGGTTTTATGCTAATTTCAATGAACTCCAACTTCTGATCTCACAGTTTCCTGTGCTTTGTGAATGTCTCTAGGAGCTGATGTTTGGCGTTCATCCTGGTTACTTCTGCGGTTATTACTATCTCTGTTCCCCTCCAGCTTTTGTTGAGGCCCCTAACTCGACTGTTCTCTTCATTTGATATGATAGTCCTGTTATCCACCTGCTTTTTCAATCGAACATTCATTCCTCTGCCACCTATATGTTTGTGAGTAAATGGTACACAGCCAGTTCCGTTTATCTCCCCCCCCCCACATATTCTGCTTTCTCTTCCAGATCTTAAACACCTGTATGATTCATTTCCGGAACCAGAGCTCCTTTTGGGAGATTTAAACTATTAGCATGTCCTCTGGGGCGATGATCTGATAAATATCCGGGGCCACCATCTCGAACCTCTCATCCTCTCTTCTTCGTTATCTCTCCTGAAATCAGGTGGACCTACTCATGTTGACTCGTGCAGTCGAACCCTTTCTTGACTTGATATTTCTCTCTGCTCCTCTTCTATTCATTCAGAACTGACATGGAGTGTCTTTGATGACCTCCACAACAGAAATCATTTCCCCATCCTCGTAATCTTTCCTTTCTGCCATCTTCTTTCATTCCCTCGGTGGCAGTTTGAAAAGGCTGAATGGAGTCTATTCACTCTCGATGCTACACTTTCCGACCTTTCTGACCATCTTCTATCTCAAACTCTCCACCTTTTCATGACACCTTATTCGACGCTGCTCTCCACTATTCTTCACTATTCCAACCGTGGCATTACGGAAGTGCGTTCCCTGATGAAAGTCAGACTGTGCTACGTACAGCCTGGAAGACATCAACTCCTCCAGACTCCCGATTTACTGATCTTGTTTCGGAAGGCGAGTGCAGTGGCACGGTGGACCATCCGAACGGTTAAGTCTGCTGGTTGCTGTTAGCACGGACAATCAGGGTCAAGTGTCACGACCGAACCACAGCTACTCATTCAATTGTTACGATCTAGCCACTTCAATGTTTTTCTAAATGTTCGTGAATTAATTGATGATAATCCATGAATGATTATGGGTTCGTGGTGAAAAGATCGTGACAATTCGGGAGGCGTTATTTGATGCAACCAGGCTCCTTAGATCACGTTGCTTGTGCCTTTGCCAGTGGTAGTTACAGACGTCTGTCTCCGACAGATGACCTCTTTAGATTGGCTTGTTTCTCACGACTCAATCACACTGGACTTCCAGCATCAAAGAACCTCTATATAAATCCACCAATCAGAGGAGAGCATCTTCACAACCTTTCACCTGATTGGTTTCTTTCCAATGCTCGTCTACCATCACAATGGGTGAGTTGACTAGTTCTGATTAATGCCGCCGGTGGCGCCTAGTTGAATGTGCACCCCATACTCATCATATGAGCAGTAGTGCAAAAAAATATTACAGAGGGCACAAAAGGTCTTATTCAGACCTCAGCAGAAATGCTTACTACATTAATTACAGGCAATCTGACATAAGATTCAGTATATCATTGAACTGTATATATGTCGTTTGAAAGTGCTAATTGGATATCAATGAAATGTTTTTTGTAAAATAAGTATTCAAGTATTCAAAGTGTGATTTATAGGTGATGACTTATTTTCTTGTATATTGGTGTCCACAGGAGGAGCTTCAGATGGGACACCAGAGGATGGTTGTGCTCGTCAACAAGCTCTTGTGTGAGGCCAAGCAGGTGCTGCCCTCAGGAGGGTTCTGTCTGGATAAAATCAAACTGGTTGTTGGAGGTAATCAGATGTGGAGTGGCCAGGTAATTACACATGGGTTTCAGTATAACTACAGAAAGAATACATTTCATCATAAAAATACATTTATTCAAGTGTGCATGAACCAGGAACGGTAATTAAAAGAATAAAGGAATAAATTCATATAATATATTGTACTTACGTATGTGTCTATTCAACCCATCCTCCTGCTTAGATAGTATTTTGTAAAACTATGTGTTCCAAAGTATAAACATTGACGTATTAAGCAATTAGATAGGAGAACTTTGTACTATTCACTTTACAGAGTACTAAAAAAATAAGACAAAAAATTAACTTAAATATTCCTAGGTATTGCCCACATATGTACTATATTAGGCCTCAGATAATGTGTATTAGGCCTAGGAAGGTTATTTTTTATTGTCTTTGTAACATAAATAGAAAATCTTTTCCTGATTGTCCAAATTCAATAGTACCAATTTCTACCTTCAAATTGCGTTGTACGTCGATATATATATATATATATATATATATATATATATATATATATATATATATATATATATATATATGTCGTACCTAATAGCCAGAACGCACTTCTCAGCCTACTATTCAAGGCCCGATTTGCCTAATAAGCCAAGTTTCATGAATTAATGTTTTTTCGTCTACCTAACCTACCTAACCTAACCTAACCTAGCTTTTTTGGCTACCTAACCTAACCTTACCTATAAATATAGGTTAGGTTAGGTTAGGTAGGGTTGGTTAGGTTCGGTCATATATCTACGTTAATTTTAACTTCAATAAAAAAAAATTGACCTTATACATAGAGAAAAGGGTTGCTTTATCATTTCATAAGAAAAAAACTATAGTAAATATATTAATTCAGGAAAACTTGGCTTATTAGGCAAATCGGGCCTTGAAGAGTAGGCTGAGAAGTGAGTTCTGGCTACTAGGTACGACATATATATATATATATATATATATATATATATATATATATATATATATATATATATATATATATATATATATGTATACAGCACAGTTCTCATCTTTACTATAAGTACTACCATATCAGGAGGATGGGCTGGTGTAATCTATATAATATAGAATGTCTGCTCAAGGTTAAAGGCCAGACTCTTGGGACTAGTATCGCCAAACTTTGCAAGGTAAATGGTCTGACACAAAATGAACATAGGTTAGTGGGGTTGGCCCTATAAGTTATTTTAACAGAGCGTTTAGGACCTTTTGTAACCTCCCCCCCCCCCCCACATAATCAGTGAAATTAGTATTTTGTTTATCTCACTAAATAACAAACTCGATCCTCTCTAAGATTTAGTAAGCATATTTTAAATATGATGATTAAATGTTAGTTGTTCTCATGTCGTTTATTTATTGATAATTACCGTGTATATATTGAAGATAGTGATGAAGAGAAAGTGGTGAAGAGGAGAAAAAGTGGAAGGGTGGAAAGGGTCAGGACTCGTATGGTTAGGAAGGGTCGATAACCCAACTTCTTAACTACAGAGAAGGGTGGTTATCGTTAATCCCATTCCCAGCGGTTAACGTTAGGGAAGGTGATAAAGGGCAAAAGTGTTGTAGGGTAAATAATTCGCTAAGGTAGGAAAGATGGTGAAGATGAAAAGCTCCTCATCTGTTGATTAAGGGCATTTTTTTTTTTTTGCCACTGCACAAAAGGTGGCAAGCAGGGGAAATGGCTTTGGAGGAGAGTCAAATAGCATTTAGACCCACAAAATGTTTTTCAGAAGGTGGAACAGAGGCAATATCTGGTATTGGACCTGACATAAGGAATCATTTGTATACGAGACACAGATACCATTACACCCCACAACAGAGTTCCAACTACGACAGGCAACAACCAGTACTGGTCAGAATAAATCCGATATGCCCACCCCTAATAGACATGCCAGAAAAATCTTCGCCAAAATACACCAAATAGGGTAACCTCATTCATCTTGGTAACTAATAGCAAAAAACAAAATACCGTTCATTAATGGTCTCCTTACAGAGTGAAATGCAGTATATTGAGCTTTCACAGAAGCCCACTCAAGGAAAGTCGTGGCCAGTGAGACCTGGATACAAGAATACAATCTAAATAGATATGAGGATTTTCCAATAAACAAATCCCCAGATGCAACGGTTGAGGAATTCACAGAACAGAAAAATAAAATAGAGAATAGCCTTGATAATCTTCCAAACCCAATACCTGATAATATATTCGTAGGAAACTTCTACCTGCCTAAGATAGAGAATAGCAAACAATATTATACCAAGTAATCTTTCTGGAAATATCCAACCACAGGTCAGGAACTACTTACTTTTTATTTATTTTTCATATATACAAGAGTTATTACATTCTTGTACCCCCACTAGCCCACATAGCGTTTCGGGCAAGTCCTTAATCCTATGTTTCCCGGAATACGGCCCCGACAATTCGTTTAACAACCAGGTACCAATTTTACTGTTGGGAAAACAGAGGCTATAGTTAAGGATTGACGCCCAGTAAGTCCTCCCCAACCAGGATATGAACCCAGGACAGAGCGTTCGCGAAACGCCCGGTGAGTGTCTTACCACTACACCACGGGGGTCTTAGAATCTGTAACACATGTTTGGTAAATAACCAGATTAACAGAGCCAACTAGGACTGAAAATATTCTAGATTTCATCATCACACACAATTATCATATAACCAGGGACATTGCAATCTCAAATACAACGTATTCAGATGATAAGTTCATTGAAGTGCAAACTAACATAAATACTCCTAATAGATTTTTAAAAAATCAAGCAAAATGGGGTATTCAATAGATTAAATTGATTAAATTTCAAAATAAAAGAAAATAATAATTGGTTATTATTTAATTATAATTTAATACTAATTATTATTTCCTAATTGTTATTTAATAATAATTGGGAAAAAAATAACATGAACGTTCAAACATTCAATTGGGAAACTGGTCTAAGTAATAAAAATGCCATGTATAACTAGTATTGATTGTGGATAATACCAGAATAACTGTCATTATCCATGAATAGAATAGAATAACTGACTGACAAAGCAAATCAAGTCTGTCTGAGATATGTTCCTTGGAAAGTTAAGAAGAGGACCAGCTTAGAAAGAGAACGCTGATGGGACTGCAGAAAGAAAAAAATAACGAAAATGCTTAAGTAGACACGGCTATTTCCATAAAACAGGAAGATTGAAGAAATAGCTCAGAGACTGAAGCACTTATCAGACTCAACAGATATAATTAGAATATAAAGCCTCACAAGAGATCAAGAAAATTCCAAAATACTTTTTCACATATGCGAAATCGAAATCAAAATTCTGTCAATATTGCAAGTGCAGGTTCAAACACCGAGGACGACAACAAAATTAAAGAAATCCTAAAAAAAAACTGCACGAGGACATGTTTAGCACCCCAATAAAAAAAAAAAATCATACCCCAGACGTGGCCACATTCTTACAATGCTAACTAGCATATATACATTTTCTTCTGTCCTCCATGGACAGTGGAAGATCCAGACAGCTTCGTTATATATGATATCCAAACCCCCTCAAAATATAATTTATATCAACACGAACTCTTCAGATTTTGAAAGAGAAATTGACAACATGTCAACGTACTCGACCCTAGGTCCAGACTCATGTAAATCAATATTTATAAAGGACTTGAAAATAAAGACTCCTTTATAAGAAAATGCAAAGTGCCAGTAGTACAAAAACAAAGTGAAGTGTGGAGGGGAAGGGAATTGTCAGGGGAAAGCGCCAAGCCATTACGACTATATAGCACTTGGAAGAGGGGTCAGGATAAGGGTGAGGGATGGGACGGGGGGAAGGAATGGGTTCCAACCACTTGGACGGTCGGGGGATTAAACGCCGACCTGCATGACGCGAGACCGTCGCTCTACCGTCCAGCCCAAGTGGTTGGGGGAGTGAAGTGTCGAGAAGAAGCGTAGATGCTGGGAGATACCAAATGCGCTAAAATCAGCAGGTATAACCCCCCCCCCCCTACACAAGGGAGGGAGGAAAGCATTACTCTTAGAACTATAGACCAGTCGCACTAACGTCCCATATAATAACACTTTTTGAGAGTGATCAGGAATCAGATCTCCAGCTGTATGGAGACCAGTGACCTCCGCAACCCAAGGCAGCAAGAATTTAGAGCTGGAAGATCACGTAATTGCAGCAACTTGACCTCTATGATAAAATCACTGATGCATTAGATGAAAACTAGTGGAAACGTGGTATTCAAGGACTTTGCAAAGGCATTTGATGAATGTTTTGATTGAGTGATTGTTCACAAAATGAGGTCAGTATGAATTGCAGATAAAGTAAAGCGATGGATATTATATTTTCTGTCAATCTGAATGCATTGAGTAACAGTTATCCAAATGAAATCGATTCCAAGCACAGTGAAAACATCTGTACCTCAGGGCATAGTCTTTGCACCACTGCTTTTACTTATTCTCACATCAGATATAAACAAAAATACGAGTTACAACTTCATATCATCTTCTGCAGATGATGCAAAAGTTAATGATGAAATGTTAATTCATCATTAATATGATGATAATATGATTAAAGTTAATTCTAGAGAATCCATTATTATATCAGCTAGTTGTTTTTAACTTGTAGTTTTAGAAGGAAATTCAACATGTTGCATAGGAGGAAAGCAACATGTAAAGGCTATGAAAATAATGTCTGACGGCTTAACAATTTTGGGAGCATAGCCAAGCAAATATTCAACCCATCCTCATGTTTATATAATACTTTTTGTAACTATGTGCACCATAGTACAAACAGTGACGTACTAATCAATTAGATAGTAGAATTTTGTACTACTCACTTTATAGAATCCGAAAAATAATGAAGCTAAAAGAAGATTAAATATTCCTTGGCCTAGTATAGCACACATATGTACTACAGTAGGCTTCAGATAGCATGCATTAGGCCTAGGGAGGTTTAGTTAGGTTAGTTTAGTTTATATTTGCAACATAAGTAGAAAATCTTTTTCCGGCTTAT